GCCGGAAGTTGTAAGCTTTAAATTAAGAAGTGATAGGAAAGTAACTTTAACTCAAAATTTAACTGTTAGATAAATTAACATAATCCTTACAAAGTATTTTTGAATCGTAGCTTTATAAATTCAGAAAAATAATATAGCCAATTATTTATAACCTCCAAATGAAAAAGTTAAAAAATTCTTTTTTGGTTAATAAGAAATAACATCGAAATCCACATTGCATTAATTTCCAGATTTTCTTGCAATTCTTCCTATAGTTTTATTAATTTATGTTTGCTGAAGCTTTTTTCCCCTAATAATAACTGACAAACTTAAAAAAAGTAATTTTCGAATTTGTATGGCGCCCCTTCTTGTGATTCACATGAGGCAAGTGCCTCACGTGCCTCACCCTTGTTTTGGCTCTGTGTATGAGTAAAATTTTTATAATTCAAAACCATAAATTAGTCAATAATCATTATATCTGGGTTGGAGAAAATATATATAGTTAGGCCTTACATTACCATTTTTTTAAATTATTACAAACCTTCTTTTCACATAAACGTAAAAAATTCGAAGGTTTACCCAACAAGCTTTGGTTAAACAAAGGATTGAAATTAAAATGATATTTATTTATCTCTCACTGAGATGTTGGACAAAGATGAGTTCAATTGCTGTTCATCGTGCAGTCCTTAGAGATGTATTGTGAATCCTAGTGCTGGATAAAATCCTGTGCTAGTAATCGAAAATTTCTATCTTAGTTGGTATGAAAAAGAATAATAAAAAACTGCAATTTAAAACTTCAGATTACAGGCTAATACCTCGAAGCAGTTACTAATAAAGTCTAAAGAATTTGTAAAAGTATTTAAAAAGCTCAAAAAAAAAAACCTGATGTGGATACCATATGTCTTCCTTTGTACGACCTATTAAATTATACACATTTTTGCTGCACTTCTTTTAAACGTATTTCCTCGAAATAATTCTATCTTCGTTAACTGATCCCTCTAGGCAAGTCGAAAATGATACCAAAAACTTCAAATTTTGAAATTAAATATCCCGGTCAATTATTGCCGTACGGGAATCAAACTTCCTGTATCTTTATATTTCCATAACGAGTATAAATGTTTCCTAAATATAAGCATAGGAACCGGGAGATCGCATTAAAAGATTTCGTTATCTGTCCAAAAGTAATTTTTTTAAAAATGTGCCAAAACATGAATATTTTTCTCATTTAAACCATTCCTGTAACTGAAAGTATATGACTACAAAACAATGATTGCGAAAATGAAGGCCGGGTAAGGACTTTTAAGCAGGGTAAGGAGGGTGGGATGTACACATTTGGTACCGCCGGTTGCAATAAAAAAGGGAGGTGCACAATTATATGTTATAGCAATCTCATATATAAAATTTCAACGCTCTAATCGATTTTGAGCATGCGACATACATACATATGTATTTACAAACGGTACGACAAAATCCCTTTTCAATCCAATCTGAATTCATTTTACAATCCGTTTTGGAATAAAGAGTCCTTTACTTTGTCCCTGCGTATAGATGCCCCTACGAAAAAAAAAAGTCAAAATGGATTCGGGAACGTTCAAAATTGATATTTCCGTTGAAACCTAATAACCGAAATTTTTCACGATTGTAATATTGCCTTTACTTCATGCAAGGAAGTAAAAGTCACAAATTTAGAAAGAAACTGATATTTGATCTTGATATACAAATTTCAATTTAACTCGTATCTGTAGCTAACCCACTTGTGAGATTTACCTATTTATTTTTAATTAATAGTTAATTTTCGTTGGAAGACTTTTCTATCACACTCTTTTCACTCACGCATTTCACACCAGAATGTAAATAGATAGCCAACGTTTATTCAGATTGAGGTAGAAAGAACTGCTATTTAAGCGAGAGTTTTGGAAGTTAGTGGCAGAGCGTGTCTGCCTAGTCTAGGCCACGTTGTGCCGTGATTATTAGCCATTTGATTCAGCGGCGCTGAGTGCTTCTAGCCATTTGGCTTGCCTCGCCGGTTTCTAGAAACCAGAGCCTTTCCAGCGCGTTAAATTATTCTGTGAGCCGTTAGGTTAAAGCTTCCACATTTGAGTTAGTTCAACGTTATGTGTTTCTGTCAAGGCAGAAGTGCTTGGCATGTGTAAACCTAAGTTGTTAATTCTTGTGTTGAAATAAAAGGGCTATTTACACCCGTCTTCTGACTTCGTTTGTCTGTAGCATTCCTCTGCAGTCTTTCTGGAGTTCACCAGTTTATGCTACCAAAGAAAGTGAGACTGCACGTTATCGCAGGGCAACTAAAGGGTTAGTCTCCCAGAATTAGAAGACATAGAATAAAATTTTAAATCCTCTGGGTGAGTAATGCATTTATTTAATAATAAACTTTAATAAATGAAAGGCTTACTTAAGCAGGGCACAGGCATTCTTTTATTTCATTAGAAAGCTTAAAACTGGAGCCTCGAATTAGAAACAATGAACACTTCGAAGAAAATCTTTTCACGAGCTTAAAATTTAGAGATTTTTTAGTGAAGTTTTTTATTTAATTATTAAAACAATTAAGTGGACTGAAAATTGGAGAAAAGCCTCAATATAAGTTAGTCTACAAACATGTTATGATGTATTTTAAACATTTTCAGAATATCATTTAAATAATCATTACTATGATTTCATCAATGAAAATTTTGAAAGTTCGTGTTTGAAGGCAAAATACCTCAAGCTTTATACGTTATAAGGCATTTCTCCCACTTCCCTAGCGTGCCTTCGTGGTGTAACGGTAGCACGCTGGGCCGGTATTCCAGAGGTCCGTGGTTCAATTCCCGGCGAAGGCGATTGTTAATTTTTCCTCTCTCTGGCTTCCAAAAAATCCTAATGACTCTACAAGTGGCGCCCGAACTCAAAGGTATATGGATGATTTCTCCGCCCACCCAGGATTCGGCGACTTGGGTCCCATGAACACCCCAGTCGCCATATAAAAGTATGGAGTATATAAGGTATTTCTCTTACTATACTCCTAGCGTGTCTTCGTGGATGTAGTGGTTCTGCACGCTGGGCCGGTATTCCAGAGGTCGGTGGTTCGATTCCCGGCGAAGGCGGTTGTTAATTTTTCATCTCTCTGGCTTCCAAAAAATCCTAATGACTCTACAACGTGAAAGAGCCTACTAAATAATTCTCACTTCCTAGGAAACTCTTTTGCAAAATTTATTATAACCGCTGTTTATAAAATTAAAGGGTGACTAATTAAATTTTTTAACTAATCATCCAAAAGTTGCCAACAGAATTTTAAGCGACGATAATTTTTTCTCTAAACAAAATATGTTTTACCTAACTTAGAACTAGGTACTTTATTTAGACAATTCTTCTTGTTTAGAAAAGATAGAAGCTCCAATATATTAATGGAATATGCAGGGTAAACTTCACACTACTTTTTTCTAATTTCACCGTTGAGTTTAGAGATCATGAATTTTTCTTTTCATTTTTTCTTATTGAAAACCAAAAATGACTTCCTAACGCTTCTAACTTGAAACAAAAATTATTATTAAGATGTTTTATAATTTTCATGAAATAAGTCTATTTAATTTTCATAAAATTCAGAAGGCTAAATATATGTTGAACTCCTTTCAACTTGCTTAAATAAAAACATGATTTTATTACGAATCATTTGTTACCTAATTTAGCTATCTATCATAGAATCGCTTGTGATTTGTTGCCAAACCGCAGCTGAAAAACATTGGTTTACGTTATAGGGTATTTTTCCCGCCTTCTTTAGGGTTACGTTATAGGGTATTTTTATTGGTTACGTTATAGGGTATTTTTCCCGTCTTCTTTCTAATGTCTCTACTGATGATGTTTCTTTCGGAACATACAAATTAAACTTTAAAAAGGACTAATAAAGAATTATCTTCTAGCTTTGTGAAACAGAACAGAAATCAGAAGAAAGGCGTACAAGACAATTTTATTCAAACGTAAAATTAACAAATGACCCAAGTAGGGTTACAAGAAACCAAGCACTTGTGGCTTAACAGAATAACATAACAATTAATAATATCAAGGGGTGGTAGATAAACCAAACGGCTCACAGAAGACTTTAACGCCAAGATAAACCTCACAATGATTACAAACAAGTGATACATTCCTGATGATTAGCAATGTTCACAGGCTTATTTTAGATCAAATGCAGCTAAATAAGCTATGGTATGTACACTCGTTACTAAAACATCTACTGGATGCATGTGAATACTTATATATATATTTACCAATTAATCCCAACTTCCAAAAGTAGCTGTACATTTACAGTGCAATATTTAAACAAAGGCGGTCCTATGAGGTACGATTTAAGATTCTCTAGAATATTGAAATAAGCTGTCAGGAGTTTTGGAGCCTTAAAGATACACTTCTATACCGACATGGATGAAGGTGTTGCCATAATTTAAAGTTTTATATCAATATTGATTAAATTACGACAAAGATAAATTATTAGTGTTATATAATTTATCTCAAAAGCTTTGTCAAAAAAGGTAAGTAATTTTTTAGACAAATTTTGAAATGATTTACCAATGTATACAAATAAATGCATTTTAGGATACGTTTTTTTCCAGTATTTACTTACATTAAAATCTTTATCAATAGATATTTGTGTATTGGTGTTGTAACTTGCCTCCCTTTTCCAAAATACAATATAATAATTTCTTATACCACTGTAGCAGTAACGTTAATGCATTACATTTTAATAATCAAACGACGAATGATTCATGATTCCCAATCAAGAACGAATGAGTAAATATTAGAACGCATCTTCTCTTCTCTCTTCCTCGTGTTTATATTTTTCGACGCTACATGCACTTCGAAATCTATGGTAATAGCATCTAAATGAAATGCGACTCCACAAACGACGGTCATTCTTTTTCGACTCCTCCTACAAACTGCACGAAAACGGCTGTTTGCTGAAACTAGACCGCTTCATACTCAGAAAAATGACATATTTCCCCACCCAAGACAAATAACACCACTTACTTTACCTTTTCTGTACCCAGCAAGTTTCGGGGACACCGAAGGTTCTGGCAGCCTCAAACTGTTGTTTTTCTCGGTCCCCATTTGTGCTATGATATCGCTTGTAGTGGAGCTAGTTGGCGACATGATTGGTGAATATCTAGAGACGTCCTCAAATGTCACTGGTGAATACAAAGATCGAGTGTCGGATGGGTCTTGCATCAGTTCAGGCTTCTGAGGGTCAATTTTCAAATCAGTACTGGATGGCTCTAGGAGGGTAGGCGTTTCTTGCACGTGCCCTGTGTTAGGGGACTTTAAGCGTCCATGCAGCCAATATGTCTTCATCTCACCTTTACCCTGCAAGATTACAAACTTTATTTCACATTTTTCTTTATTTAAACCAATAACCAAATGAACTCAGTTATTAAAACCTAACAATAATCATTTCCGAAAACAATAGAAAAAAAAAAAAAAAAAAAAAAAAAAAAAAAAAAGACAAAATGTTTAAAGGGTGTCAGATTTTAAATTACGTCCAAAGAGGCGTTTTTCTTTAACGTTTTGTGTGTTACCTTTATTTATTAAATATCACGTTCTTTTCAATTAAACCATAAAATTCAGTTCAACAGCAATATCGCAAGTTTATTTTAAAATGAGCATAAATTTAGAATTTTCCATACACAGCCTCACGCGTTGGAGATAAAAATGTCTTTTTATTTTCTTTCGTACACTGTTTCCGTTGCTTGCTTTGAAATCGTTTAGAATTTTAATCAAAAATTCGTCGAAATGTTACGAAATCTGAAATCGATAATAACGCTAATTTCAAATTCAAATTAGGGTTTCCACATGTTTATATTCTATGGAAGATTACGTTATTCAAATTTTGATAGCTCTAGGTACCGTCGTTTTTTCACAATGCGAGAAACATACATATATTTATGCAGATTCTTTATTATTTTATTTCTTTAAATACATGACAGGCAGATAATACATGGTGGCAACGATTTGAAAAGGGATTCAGCCTTTTAAAGTTTTCAACGCAAAATGCCAAAACGAAATTAATAGCCCTTCTGGGCTAACGCCCTTTGATCTAATGATTACTTTTAACAAAACGTTCATTAATATGTTTTTATATAGTTCGGAAATTAATTCTGGATTGGCAAAATTAGACAGCCTCTTACCAACACAATTTAACAAATAAATATATTTCCCACGGGGGGAGGGGAGGAATGAGCTATTGTTAATCTTTTGTAACACAATTCACGATCCATTCCAATAGCTGAAGCTGAAGACTTAGGGTAGTAAATTTTCTGAATTCGATTTTCGACAGTAAAATTATCTGGCTTCTTATGTCTTTTCCACGTGTGAAAAGACGGTTCTTTTAAAGAATCACGAAACCTCTCTTTCTAAGTAAATAAACTTGAAGTGCTATGCGATGACTAATGTTTTTAAATTTATAATATTCTAAATTGCAGAAATTTAGTGTAATTTTCGAAGTAAAACATATTTTACGATTTTGAATGAAACATTGATTGCAAAGAATATAAATGATAAGAAAAAATAATCAACTTTTACTGATTGCAGTTAATAAATTACATTATGAAATATTTGGATTAAAAATAAAAAGAAAAGATTTGAGGGATCTTATTTACTTTGAAGAAGAGCAAGTTATAATATCATTTAGGAATATATACGTGCATCATTTCGAAGAACTCATAACTGTAAAGATTCTGTTATGCATTTACAAAATTGCGCGAAATCAAAAAAATTGGTAGTAATTTTATAATGAAAAGAATAGGAATTTAACTTCAACTTAACATTTTAATTTAACTTCAATTTAATTTAAAAAATGTACTTAAATCAAAATTGAATGCAGCAAAACGTTCGCAATTATAATATGATAATTTTATGAAACTATTTGTCATTGAATGTATAATTAAGCAGAAATATAGCAAGAAATTATCTTCATTTATTGCATAATTATGAGTAAATTCAATTATAAGATGACAAGTATTTAAAATAGCTAAATATATCCTTCTGCTGGATTTAAAAAAAAGTTCGGATTCTACAAAAGCAAAATCAAGAAAAAAAATTAAAAATTAATTCTTATTTTGAGAAACAAACGATTTTGTGACATAATTAAAAGTGACATATATACAGGGTGGTCATATTTTTTTCTGATGCATAAACATCTAGGGGTCTATTCGCTCGAAAATTTTTTTATGGCCACGCTCTATATATAGAATTTTTTCCAAATTTTCATCAGCCTAGCGTAAAAACATTATGCTACCATGAAGAAAGGAAATGGCAAATTAGGAAATTATTTCTGAAAAAATAATCAAAAATAGAAATTAAATTGAGTTGATAATTTTTTTATCTTTCCAAAGGGGTAGTAGCCAAAAGAATTTTCAACAAACTCTCGTTTCTAATTTATGTTTGGATGAAATGCTAAACAGAAATAAATATTTTTTTTTTCAATATTGAGTACCAGACTTTTGTAGGTTTTTAAGTTCAATTTAAAGTAAAAATTTAAAGTAAAAATTTTGAAATAAAATTAAAAAAAAAATTAAATGCCCTTTTCAAGATATAACTTGTTCCGACGCGACATGAAAGAAAATATGTCTTTAGCCTCTCCAATTACAATCCAAAATAATATGAAAACTTACGTAATTCCAGGATAGATTACATTCGAACTTTCTACCTTCCAGTGCTAGTCGAACGGACTTCCAGACACTTCATGAATTCTCCAGAGAAGGAAAAAGCTTCTCACAAATTTCACAAGGCAGAAATTTATCTAATTATATAGAGATAATAAACCGCTGTTCAAAATTTAAAAAATATATATATATTTAATTCGGTTTTGTAAGCTATTCGGATGTAACTCAGAAACGCTGTTCTGTTGATAATTCTTTCTTCTGCTCCTGGAAAAAGATTAGAAGCATTAACAACTAATTTGATTTTTGTTTATGATTAAATTTCTTTTTGATTTCAGGATTAATTTCCTAACTTGCTGTTTATTTGCTTTCCGCTTATTGCATATTAATTTCGTGGAATTAGTAGTTTTGTATTAATCGAAGTGCGACTTTAGAAGCTTTTTATTAAATTATTTTCTATTAATATTCTTTATATGTATATGCATTAATATTTAAACAAATTTAAATTTAAATTTTAACAAACACGTATAAAGTAAAAAAGCAAATTTAAAGCCAAAATAAAGAAAAAAAGCCAAAATAATTTTTTAAAAATTTAAAAAAAAAATGTGCAAACATATAAAAGATTTAATTCTCGAACTAATCTACAATATCATTTAAATTCAGAAGCATAAGCAAATCAAGTGCAAAACCAATCCATGAAAATAAATTCACTAATTTAGGTTTGGAGGCAACTTCCCCTTGATAAGTCTGTCTTCTGCCTACTCAACAGTCATTCACTTATGCATTTTTAAAAAAATTGTTTGGTTTAATTTTAATTTGCTAAATTAGTGAATTTATTTTCATGATTGGTTTTGCACTTGATTTGCTTATGCTTCTGAATTTAAATGATATTGTAGATTAGTTCGAGAATTAAATCTTTAATATGTTTGCACATTAAAAAAAAAATTTTTTTAAATTATTTTCGCTTTATATTTTGGCTTTAAATTTGCTTTTTTACTTTATACCTGTTTGTTTAAAATTAAAATTAAAATTTGTTTAAATTTAAATTCCATTCCTTGCAGCAATGGCACAAAGAATATTTAATTAAATTTGTATTAAAATTAAATTTATTTAATTAAATTCAATTTTCTTATATACATTAATATATATATATATATATATATATAATACATTAAGATCAAAATCATGTAATCATATTTCTAGTTTTTTAATAAATTATTTCTGTTAATATATATATATATATATATATACATTAAAATAAAATTATGTAAATCATAATTCTATCTAGTTTTTTTATTAAATTATTTGTTATTAATATTCTTTTATATATATATATAGATTAATATTCCCTAGTTTTTTATTAAATTATTTTCAATTCTAGTTTTTTACTAAACTATTTTCTGTCAATATTTATATAATATTCTTAATCTGATCCTTCCTAACTCCGAGGGAGCACATTCTTTGGGGAAGTTCCCGCTTATCCCAAAATTTTGCAGCAAGGCTCTGTCATCTTCAAAAGTCAATACCTTTCACTGATCCATGAATAGATTCATTTCATTTATTAAATATGCCACCTGTCTGCAAAATATTAGTGTTTCAGAGCAAAATTGCGATGTCTTAATGCAACCATCAGCAATCTGGAAGTCATGTTCCCTAGGTTTGGTTTGGTTTATTTAATTATGGCAAAGCACACTAGGGCTATCTGCCTAAGGGGAGGGTTGCCTTCGTGGAGGACTTTCTAAGGGAAACTGACTCTATACACGCTACACATGGGGAAAACCACAAAAACGCCCATGCAGCCAGCCCGTTCGCGGAATTTGAACCTCGGACCAAACTACCAGTGTTCAGCGACTTTACCGCTCGGCCGCTGGTGGGCCTAATATTCCCTAATTAAATGTATTAGCAACGAAAGGAAATCGATTACTCAAAATATGTGAGGTACTGTTGCATAACAAACTTCTACTTCTACTGATTTGTGCGTATGTAGGGAAAGAGGCGACCCTGACCATTATGTCTTTCACTGCCCACTAACCGCCAACCTACACATCAAACACCCTAATCAAGTGGGAATGGAATTTAAAAGATTCCTAATCAACCATCAATACACCTACAAAAACATTAAACTAGTCATAGACAAGCTACAACAACAAGGTAGAGAACTATGCCACTCATAAATAACAAAACGGACGTAATGATGCCACCACACAGCGGTCCAAAGAATCATGACTGTTTGCTCACCTCCTCTGAAGAACGACACCTAATCTGCAGCTTCACCATTTAGTTTTCCATGGAAATAATCTAAGGTACTCATACGATTCAAATATGATATTCAACAGGGAGTGCTCCTATCTTAAGTCATCACTATCTATGTGAGTGATGATTATCAACTACTAGTGCCTTCAAACTGCTAAAGCGCAGTACTTTGAACTTTACACTATTATCTGATGCTCATTATATAAAGTGCTCTCCATGCTGCTGCGCACAATTCAGTGCACATTGAACTCTAAGCATAATGAACTCTGTGCAAAGTAAACTCTGCAAAATCTGTGCACAATCACACAACGATACCACCAATACAAAAATAACATAGCATTATAACTCACATCACATCCATCTTCCCAAATGCTAAGGCATTCCTCCAAGCACACCAATAAATGTCAAACTGCAACACCTAATTAATTGTAACATGTTATCTCCATGTTGATTCCTGTATACCAATATATCTGTACCTCGATTACCTGTACCCCAGTTTATCTTTATAATTGTTCTTCCTATGTAAATAACTTTTTACTTTAATGTAATTTATTATGTCAACTGCGTAATGTAATGACTTGAAATGTAATCTTTTGTCTTAATGAATGCCAGAAAAGGTTAGTGCAGTGGGGCAATACCATTTTTGTCTATGACGATATCGTGGTGCCCCCTGCACTTTTTCCTGTCCTGTCCTGCATAACAAAACGCTGGTCAAAAAACTAAAATCGAGATTTAAAATGTATTAATAAAATAAAGCTCAGGAATGTAATAAATATATCGTAGAGAGGGATAAAAACTTTAAAGACTTTTGAAACATCTGTTGCCTGCTTAGATTTACAACAGGTAACCCTATTGGAATGGTGGTAGAGACTTCAACAATCTTGAGTCATGTCAAGCCGAAAATCCTTTGGACAAGCTGTTATTAGGTGATTACGTATGGGAGACTCGTACCTGCCTCCAGAGCTACTCTGCATTGAAACTAGGATGGAACTTCGCGTTTTTCCCGAATGCAATGAGATCGCCGAGTGTGGTGCACCCATGGTAACGTTCTCGACGTTTAAATAGCTTAGGAACAAATGGGCTCGGTCATTTCCGACGAATAGTTAACCTATCAAAGTGTCTGGTGTTGGCGTGGGGGCTAAATGTCCCCCCACGCTAACACCCCCGCCAATGTTGTTCCTCTCCAACGCCAATTTTTTTTTGGGGGGGGGACGCCAAATCCTCCCACGCCAATATTTTGGGGGCCACGCCAATTTTTTTCTTCATATTAAATAATTTATATAACACAGTTTATTTCCTAAAACAATGTATAGTCGTTTTAAAATCTCATTTTTAAAAAAAGTTTTTTCACTGGAGTCAGGTATTCAAAAAGTAACAGCATTCTGGCTGTCTTTGATTTAAATTATCCTTGAAACTTTAATACCTACTACTTTTCGGTCCCTTGAAACCACTTTAACGGCTTGTCGGCATCAATCCATTGTTCGTTAGGAAGCTCGTTTTACAGTTAACGTTTATTTTCTTTCATGGACTGCACTACTGCTAATTATTTAGTTCTTATTACTTGCTTATTGTTTGCAATCGAAATGATATTGTTTTCATGTGAAGGAAGATGGTGTATAGGAAAACATTTAAATTAAAAAATTGGTCCAAAGTTGCACATTATTGGTATATTTTTAGTCCAAAGGGTAAATTTGCCCAGAAGGACTATTCATTTTGTTTTGGCACTTTGCTTTGGTTAACGATAAATGTCGGTTCACTTTTCAAATTGTTGCCACCCAATATTAGAGCTCTGTATTATAGACTAGAAGAGAAACACGCTAATGTGACAATCAAAATCGTATAAACAACCTTGTATTTAGCCTAAGTATATTGAAACACTCAATCGATTTCGAGGGCAGCTAAACGTCCCTCCTCATCAGGAGAAAGAAATACATAGTAAGAAGAAAAATAAAGGGGAAGGGGTCTCAGAAACACGTGGTCCTTATCAGCACTGCACATGGTTATAACCGGATTTTTAATCAGAGTTGCACTGGCCGCCTACTTTTACTGAGCCAGGCTATCTGATCAAACATGTACACAAGGACAAGAAAAATTAGCGAAGTTAAAATAGGAGCGAGAGGAACTGCACCTTCCGCTCAAATCTGAACTTCGAATAATGGAAAGCACCACTTGGTACTACTACCAGAGGGTATAAAAATCCGTTCAGTGGTTGCTTTCCATTATTCGAAGTTCAGATTTTGAGCGTGAAGGTGCAGTGACACTTGCAGTGCTGATAAGGACCACGTGTTTCTGAGACCCCTTCCCCTTTATTTTTCTTCTTACTATGTATTTCTTTCTTCTGATGAGGAGGGACCTTTAGCTGCCCTCGAAATCGATTGAGTGTTTCAATATACTTACGCTAAATACAAGGTTGTTTTTACGATTTGGATTCTCTGTATTATATTTAAAGAAATTAAAAAATCAAGATCTCCATAAATGTATGCATGTTTCTCGCATTGTGATACAACAACGGTACCTAGAGCCATTCAATTTTGAATAATGTTCGCTTCCAATTTTGAATAATGTTCTGATAGCGGCCCACTCGAATGTGGGCCGCTTTCAAATCGTTGAGTCTGTTAATCAAAAATTCGTTAAAGCTTTTTTACAAAATATGAAATAGATATTAAAAAAATATCTGATTTCATTCTATGAAAATACTGAATATTTTTAATTACATAGATCAATAATTAAATGCATTTTTATTATTTAAATTAATCCGACTCAAAAGTAAGAACTGAAAATTCGTAAGAGTTGCAGCTATTACTTTCAAATACCTTAGTTTGTTAATCCACGAAAGATAATTATTTTACATTTTGCTCAATGGCATCAGACTCGAATGAAAAGTGAAACGACGCGTTTATAGTGATTGGACGGAATACATTATTTTTTACTGAAATCATTGCCAGAGATTGAATTTTGCTAATTATTAATTTTCGTCTGGGTACGCAAAATTCTAACATTTTAAATAATTCAGTCGCCATATAAGAATTTAATTTTATCACACATTTGTAATATTGAATATTTTAGAAATAAAATATTGAATATTTTAGATAAACTCGAATATTTTAGAAATATATTTCTTTTACCTTCACAGTAATGGTCCCGCGATCTGAAATGTCCCACTCATCCAGATCTAGTTTTTCTCTTGTTTTTTCGCTTATGTGAATCTTTAGTGCCTAGAAATAAAAAAAAGAAAGCACAATTCTGTTAAAAATACAAAAATGAAAGATGTTATTATTACATGCAGAACAAATTTTATAATGAAGCAATTGGTCTGCAGCGACGTTTTGAATTATTAATAGAATCAACAAAATGTAATTGCTATTAAAAATATAAAAAGTATTTTAAATAATTTCAGTATCTCATAAAATAGGATTATTTTTATCATTTCTCAGTACAAATAAAGATCATGATGATAACTTTATAAATAATAGTAGAGATATTAGAATTATTTGGAAGCCGGAAACATGAAAAATTAGCAACCCCTTCGCCGGTAATCGAACCCAATTAATTTAGTTTTCACTTCGTAGCAAGGCACAATTACATAAAATCTCAAAACATCGTCATTAAAAACTGAAAAATATAGAAAAAAACAAAAACCCAAATATAGTTAAAACAGTTAAAAAAAACAATTTTGCCAATTTAAATTAGTGTTTCCACGCAAAACAAGTAAGTTTACTTCTGGTCCCAGTTGGCAAAAAGACACTGAAGGTGCAGAAACTGAATTCACTATTCTACTAAGTTTCAAATTGAAGAAAAAAAGGGTTCTCCGCTAGGCTTAGTCGCACTTAAACAAGTTTTAATTATTGATAACTCTACAACTATTGCATGCAGATTAACTAAAAGCGTAAAAACTTTAACATAAGAACAACATAATTCAATCACATTTAAAGCAAAAAATGTATGATTTACCATCACGTACGGAAAAAAAAATTGAGCTCACTGAGCCGAGTAACAGAATGTGAATATATATTTATATATTTACGTGCTTTCCGTACGGCAAACAAAATTTCAGCGTTCTCAGGCTACTCATTATTCAGTTATGCGAGATGCATACATACGTACGTACAGACGTCTCGAAAAAAATATCTTTTGAATCCCTTTTAAATCCATTTTTAACACGTTTTGAGAAAAAGAGACATTTTTTCTGTCCGTACATACAGGTATCGCAAAATTTTTATTCAGATGGATTCGAATATGTAAAATATGATACCCGAAATTCTTCGCGATAACAATACTTCATTTACTTCGTACAAGGAAGCAAAAATGCAATTATCGTATTTAATGTCACTTATGCAGAACAAAAACCCCATTTCATATTGCCTCTTTAAAATATCCCTTTTTCTTAACTTTTGTAAAATTCAAGTGATAAATTTTGATTTTTAACACACGTAAATATCACATTTCTCTTGCAAGCTTTGTGAATTTTGGCTTACATGCTTACCTGAATGTGCAAGTATGCAAAAATAAACTACATAGTATGTCTAATAATATACTCACTATCGGATAGAGTATCCCATACCGAAATAATTCTTGACGTCTTAGGTCGTCTTCCGCTTGCTTCGGTTATTATGATTCGCTAGATTTAGCATTTTTGAGTTATTTATCAATTTCTGTTAGAGCTGAAGAATCATTTGGTGGATATGATTATAATAAATGTTTTCGATAATGTCGTTAAAATAAACCTACAGTTTTATGAAATTATGTACAGTGTCTCACAAAAGTGATGGGACACTTGTGCTTTACGAAAGGAAACTGTAGTAAAATAAATTAAAAAAACATGTAAAAATTTTTTGTGGGTGTGTTTCATACTTAAATTTAGTAACAATTATTACATAACATACATTTTCTCAAAATATTAAAATACTAATTTAATAAAAATACAATTGTTTAGAACGGAGCAAAAAATGGCTCACATAAGTGATCGGACACTTACTTTTCCATTAAATATTTATCCAAAAATTTTTCTTAAAATGTTTTAATATTTTGTTGGATTTCCTTTTACTTTTAAAACGTGATTTAATCTTCTTGGGATGGATTCGACTAATTTCTTTGTGATTTCTGGAGTGATTTTACCCTATTCTTCTTGAAGCAATGATTTTTATTTGTTGTTTTGAAGAAATGCTGTGTTTGCGAATTCTTGATTCCAATTCTTGCCAAATATTCTCTATGGGATTTAAGTCTGGAGATTGTGGTCGTGTTTTCATTATTTCAGGACAGTTATACAGCAGCCAGAGTCTAACGTTCAAAGCAGTGTGCTTGGGGTCATTGTCCTGGTAGAATATAAAATCGTTATGAAGGGTCAAACTTTCGTGCTGAAGATTTCAAAATTTTGATTTAAAATGTCAATATACTTGTCCTGATTCATTAGACTGTCAATAAAATCAAATAAATCATTAAATCATAAATAAATGTCAATAAAAACTGTCAATAAAGATTACCAACTCCAGCAGGACGACATACACCCCCATACCATAACTCCTCCTCCACCATCTTTTACTGTTGGCACCAAGTTCTGTTTGCGAAACTCTTTCCTAGGTTTTCCTGGGTCTTACACCAAGATTCTACCGTCAGAAACCAAATATTATTAAATTTACTCTCATCAGCAAATATAACTTCATTCCAGTAATCAGAGTTCTTATTTATGTTGGATTTTGCGAAAGCCAGTCTGACTTTTCTATTCTTTTCACTTACGAAGAATTTTTTTTCCTGGCTGCTCTACCGTGATATCCAGCAGATCGAATTACTCTTCTAATAGTCCCAGGATTAACAATTACTCCATGTAATGCTTGTAAATCAGCAGCAACTTTTAGGAGCACTCATTCTTGGATTTTTTTAATATTTAGACAATAATTCGCTTATATTCCATTGGATAGCTTTGATGGTCGGCCAGGTCTTCTTTTATCCTGAATCATATGATTCTTTTTATATCGTTTAATGATATTGGAAACTGTTGAATGACTGAAATTAACTGTTTCAGCAGTTTCTCTAATAGATTTTCCACGTTCAATATGCAAATTAATAACTAATTTTCGAATTTCAGTCAAAGTTTCTTTTCGTTTAACATTCATGGCTGCACAGAGCTAAACAACACAAAAATTCCAAAACAAACTGGAGAGAAAGACTGCAGACGATTTTATAAATTATTGCCAGTTGCTTTTGAGTAAAAATAAAAACCCCCAAAAATATTTTTATTGTAGTACGTAGTAGTATCTAATGGTGTCCCATCATTTATGTGAGCCATTTTTTGCTCCTTTCCAAACAATTGTATTTTTATTAAATTACTGTTTTAATATTTTGAGAAAATGTATGTTATGTAATAATTGTTACTAAATTAAAGTATGAAACACACCCACAAAAATTTTTTACATGTTTTTTAATTTATTTTATTACAGTTTCTTTTTGTAAAGCTGAAGTGTCCCATCACTTTTGTGAGACACTGTATGGATTGCGTTTGTGTTCTTTCCAAATTCACTAAATGATGAATTTAAACCTATTTACTGACTTTTGGATCACTAAGTATATTTGTTAATATTTAACACGAATTAAAATTCACGATAAAAAACATTTTGGTAAATATTCCGCAGGATTTAAAGCATCTTATGGAAGTGACAGCGGTCTTTTTCATGAAGTCAACAGTTTATACTGAATTATTGTTTTTAGTAAATTGACTATTAAATAAACAAAAATGCATTCCAATAAAACAAAATTGTAAGTTTCTAAATTTATAACAAAGCTATTAAAAATTTTTCCTATTCTGAAGTTTTCATATCAGCCATTGCTTTGAAGCGCTTTGAACAAAACTTCTGAGGGAAGCAATATGTAAAATAATTTCTCTGTTATTGCTATAGTACGTATACATAAAACTGTCTACGAAATGCATATATCATAAGCAGGTTAGAAAATGCGATGAGCAATTTCTTATGAATTTGGTATGAATGTAATTTGCGTTTCGGTCAAGAATTATTTGACAGAATGAATTTTCTTGGCAATGATTTATCTAAATGAGACATCTCAGTTTTGTATTTCAATATTACGCACACTGTTTATTACTTACTCTCTTCATTTATAAGATTTCTAGTGAGTTTCGGCACGTTAATTAGCAAACTGGTGCATAAAAGTGCAATTTGTTTGCATTTACGAATATATTGCAATACTCGTAATAGTTATGCATTTCACCGTGAACACTCAGCTGCACATCTGTTAAGAGATTTAAAACATAAAATTAGCACAGCGACAAACTTGTGTTTTGCATACTCAAGAACTCAATCAATTTCGAGGGCAACCATATACAGACTCTTCTTCATCGACAGCAAAGAGATCTGCAAGACTGGAATGCGCCCGCTGGTTTCCAGTCTTGCAAATTTCTTTGGTCTTAATGAAGAGGGACCTGTATTTATTTGCCCTCGAAATCTGTTGAATTTTTGACTAATTCTACGCTTAACACATGGTTAGTGCTTTGCTAATTTTGTGTTTTACTTTGGCCTGTTTGTCTATGTCACTGTAGCGTGTTTGTTTGTTTCTTTATGTCACTTTGTTGCGTTATGTTTCTTTGGCTAATCTTATGTTTTGTTTTGGTTTGCTTATAAGGTATTTCTCCCGCTTTCTTACCGTGCCTTCGTGGTGTAGTGGTCTGCATGCTGGGCGCGTATTTCAAAGGTCCATGGTTAGATTCCCGGCGAAGGCGTTGCTCATTTCTCGTCGCCTGTTTCAAAAAATATCTAATGTCTCTACTGTGGCGCCCGAACTAAAAGGGTGGTGGACGATGATTCTCCAGGATTTGGCGATTGGGTCCCCTAAAACCTCAGTCGCCCTTTAAAAGAGAGAGTATATAAGGTATTTCTCGCGCCTTCTTACCGTGCCTTCGTGGTGTAGTGGTCTGCATGCTGGGCGCGTATTCCAGAGGTCCATGGTTCGATTCTCGGCAAAGGCGATGCTCATTTTTCCTCTGTCCTGTTTCAAAAAATACCTAATGTCTCTAGTGGCACCCGAACTGAAAGGGTGGTAGATGATGATTCTCCAGGATTTGGCGATTGGGTCCCCTAAAACCTCAGTCGCCCTTTAAAAGAGAGAGTATATAAGGTATTTCTCCCGCCTTCTTACCGTGCCTTCGTGGTGTAGTGGTCTGCATGCTGGGCGCGTATTCCAGAAGCTCGTGGTTCGATTCCCTGCTCATTTATCATCTCTCCTGTTTCAAAAAATACTTAATGTCTCAACATGTTTTTTAAAAGATTGAAATTTGCAGATCTGAAAAAACAATTCAGTCTTTTTAATAAGTTTTCAGATGCAAAGCCCATTTATTTGCGGTAGTTTATTGATTTTACATGACTCTTTTAAAATATGTTCAAACTTATGAACTATTCTGTACAAAAGACATAGAAATCTATGTGGAATCCATTACATGGAAGCAGAAGTTCTGAGTAATGCACTGAAAAAAAAAGAGATATACATATTAGTACTGCAAATGGCTGTAGGTCGTCTTACTTCACTCGTGCTTTCCATCCTAGAAGCTGTATTGACGGCATCTCCGAACAAACAATATCGAGGCATCTTGAGACCGACCACCCCAGCAACTACAGCACCAGTATGGACACCTAGAGATGATGAAAAAAGGTGGTATTATTTATATATGCATGTATTATTTCAGTTCTTAAACATTAATCTCATAATTTCATTTCTTACCTCATAATCGTTAGAAATACACTGACTACCAATAAGTATTTGGACACCTGTGATAGAAAAGAAAAACTAACTTTATTCAAAATCAATAGTTGGTAGAGCCTCTACGAGAGGTAATTACAGCGTGGATCCTCCGGGAGCATACGTTTCCACAAGTCTCTGTATATGACAGCTAGTGGTATTTTCTTCCACTCGGCTTAGAGAAGACATAGAAGTTCCTTCACCAATTTTGCACGGGTAGTGCACCCCTGAATTCGGTGATGCAACTCGTTCCAGAGGTTCTCGATTGGGTTCAGGTCTGGACTCTGGGCAGGTCAGTCCATTCGATGAACTCCATTGGCATCATACCAAGCCTTGGTTAACGCCGAAACATGACAAGTGACACTGTCGTCCTGAAAGTAACGGGGGTCCAACCCGTAAAACTACCACAACGTAGGAAGCACATTGTCATCCAAAACAGTGCAGTAGGCATCGGAGTTGAGTTTACCATGAATGGGGACCAAGGGTCCCAGCCCATACCAGGAGAAACACCCCCAGACCATAATTCCACCTCCGCCAAACTTGACTGTTGTTACAATGCATTCTGGCAGGAGACGTTCTCCAGGTAGACGCGAGACCCAAACCCTGCCATCCGAACGGTGAAGGGTGAACCTTGATTCGTCACTCCAAGGAACCCGTTTCCACTGATCTACGGTCCAATTTCGATGTTCTTTGCACCACATTAACCGAGCAGCGCTGTTGGACTTTGTGATCAAAGGCTTATGGGCAGCAGCAAGACCATGAAAACCAAGCAGATGTGCTTCCTTACGGATGGTATTCATTGAAACAATACTTCCGGATGCCTGTTGAAATTCCTCGTGGATGAGGGCCATCGGTTGGGTGCGGTTCTTCCGAATTTTTCTGGACAGCACTCGTCGGTCTCTATCTCCCAGTTTCGTTGGTCTGCCGACTCGGGCACAGTCCGACAATCACCTTTCACTTCTTAATCACATAGCCCACTGTCAATTTTGGGTACTTCAGACCGCTAGATATGTCCCTTAAGGATTGCCCACATTTGTGATACCCGATAATTATACCGTTCTCGAAATAAGAGAGCTCCGAACTGCGCTTCATTTTGCATGCGACTAAAGCCGATGCTGTTTCCTACATGATATATACCGGCGGAGTCCGTGACGTACCTTAGGACCGCAGATATCGTCATTTGCATTAGGTGTCCAAATACTTATTGGTAGTCAGTGTATACACCTTACAAATTCTTCAAGACAAAGCACATTTCTTTTCAACTTATGATATATTTTTATTTAATAATCGTCTATGGTTTTACATTGAACACCGTGACCTATCTTCTTCTGGCACATCTTAAATGATGTCTAAATTATGTAATTACAGAAGTACCGAAGATGCATAGAATTCCCTTTCAATACATATTTATACTTATATTACTGCATTATAATACTGCAGGAAAGGAAAAGGCACAGTTCTATATCTCCCGTTCTACTGGGTCGATGGACGAAATTCAACTTACGTTTTTCATGTCTCGAAAGCGCGACTTAGGATATGTATTGGATTTATATACAGCATTGTTCGAATATAGGTATTTTGACACAAAATCGGACTTTTTCTGAAATAACATACTACTTTTTTCCATATTTGTATTCTACGACTCAAATTATGAAAATTGAAGTTTTGTAAAAAACGCCTGAGTAGATTTTAAAAATTAGTTCTCAAAATTTTAGCTCCTCCATCTTAATTGATTTTGATATATATTTATTAATATCTCTTTATTTATTAACCTTGTTTGATTCTTCCTTTCACATGTCAAAATTTAGGTTCATTCCGAATAAAATTCGCCCATTGTTTCGTCATTTGTTTTTAAAATTTGCATTTTTAAATATTTTTTATAAATTTTTCGAAAAATAATTTGTATTTTAATCTATAAAGTTTTTAACATCGTCTTAAAATAGATGTATTTATAGGCACACTTGCTTAAAAATTAGTTTTTTATCCAAAATTTTCTAAGATATACGTGAAATTATAAATTGGAACATTTTGAAATTTGGCATCTTTTTTTTCAGTGATGATAAAGACAAATGAGATTTCGTATTTCGTTAAAATTATTCGAAAGTATGAACGATGACTTTTTTTCGACTCGTCTTCAGTGAAAAGAGGAAAAGAAAAATAGGTTGCTATAAATTAAGAAGTTCGCCAAGTAAATTATTCTTGGCGCAAACTGAAAAAAAAAAAAAAAAAAAAAAAAAAAAACGAAAAGTTAAACTGTTGAATTTCTTTTGAATTTCGCAACAAATTTTAGAAAATTTAATATTTAGGCATAAATTTGAGTCGTAGATTCGAAATATGGGAAACAAATGACATGTCATTTCAGAAAAAGTCCGATTTTGTGTCAAAATACGTATGCTAGAATGATGGTGTATATATATATATATAATACATATCCTAAGTCGCGCTTTCGAGACATGAAAAACGCAATTTGAATTTCGTAAAGAACTTTCTTTTCTTTTCTTTTTCTTTTTTTTTTCGCAGTTTACAATGATTATATCTTTAAATAACTATAAATATAAAATGAATAGTATATCGTCTTAGAAGACATTTCAGAATCACTGAGAAGAAACAAAACCTTAAAGATATTATCCCCTGTAATGCCTCTTGTAATCAGTTTAACACTCATAAATATTTTAGTATTACAAATATCAAACTAATACGGGGGCCTGCTTTTTGCGCCTAATTGCATAAATTTATCTTTACTGCCTATGAATTGAAAATAAAAATTTTCGGAAACATTCAGAATCCGTTTTAAATACTATTTATCCACACAGCTGCACAACTAAATAGTTCTTGAATGATTGTTGGAAGTCTCATAAGTACAGTTCGAGAAATGCTTCAAATGTCGTCAGCTTTCAGATTACGAAACTTAAATTCAGAGATATTTTAGTCCATGTTACCTTTCGTATGAAGAAATAATCTGTAAAAAATATACAAAATTTTAATTTTTATATGACTTCTCTCTAAGAATTACTTATCCTATAAGATCCAGCCTTTTTAAGCCACGTAACTAAAGTAGATTCTACCAATTAATCTGGCGAATTCTCGCACAGGCGTGTAGTAAACACAGCATAGAAGAACGGTGAAAATAACACTTTATACTTTCGAACTAAGAACAGAAGCCACGATCTTCGTGCTTTACAATAACACCGACAACTTGCGGTGGAACGTAAACGATAACATAAATCAATTCAAGTCTAAATAGAATAGTGCTAGATTAGCACGTTAAGTTACGGTTAGCTTAGGTTGGCTCAACAACCCAAACAGGTGTGACAATTATCCGAATGGCCAAAGGGCGTATTAGCGTAACAGCAGGGCAAGATCATCAACGAAGCGTAGCGAAAACACGCTCTAAATAAACACAAGAGATTCACCCATTTAAATACTCACTTCACTTACCTTTAAATTTGAATCCTGGCGAGGAAATGCGAGGAGAAGTTGAGGAGTTCAGGAAAATATAACAAAAATTTGAATAACATGTTGATTTTAACTAAAACTCTACAATCCTACTAAATATTTTTTGGTGACCAAAATCGACTCTTTAGTGATCAAAACTAATCTGGAAAACTGTTATCAAAATTATGTAACTTAAAGCATTTTTATATAACAAAAAAGAAAGGTAGAAACTTGAATTCAATTATCATATATATACAAGATGTGACACACACACACAAAACAAAATGAGACTGGTCCAATAAATCATCGTACAGTAAGACCCCGCTTAACGCTGTTTCGTTTAGCGCTGTTTCGGTTTAGCGCTCTTTTATTTCAACCCGGGGATACCACGAAATCGCTCGCAGCATACGGGGATTCCCCGAAATATTATGCAGCGATAGGTTTCAAATACATATCCGAAAGAGTGTACTTGTATTTCTTGTTTGGTGCGGTATTGTACAGACATATTTTGAAGGAGTAAATGTGGAAGATATCGAAGAAATAATTCAAGAAGCAGCGGCTAGTCTTTCTAATGATGAGCTCAAGGAATTAACTGAACAAGAAGAAAACAAAAATGTTGACAGCAGTGATTCAGAAGAAGAGCAAAAAGAACTTTCGATGGCGTTTGTAAAAAGGAGTTTGTCTACCATAACTGAAATAATGGATCAATTCATTGAAAATGATCCGAATTTTGACAGGAGTTCAAAAGTAAGGCGTGGTGTTAGAGATGCTCTATCCGTTTCGACCAACTATTTTATTTATGAAGAACTTTAAAGAGAACAACGCAAAAGAAAAAGGCAAACACATTAGATGCTTTTGTCACAAAATGGCAGAACACTGAAAACGCGGAAGGCTAACTAAATATGACTGACTTAGAATTTTATTTGTTTTTTTTTAAGAATATTCGTTTTGTTATTTATATTTTGTTTTTATTTTTGCAAGAAATAATAATGTGGTATTAATTTGGGCTTTAAGAAATAAATGTTTGGTTTTATTTTTATTAAAAAAACATACTTTTTAAATTTAATACCTAACCAATTTCCTAGCCATCTTCCCCTAACCCCAGTATTTACATGTAAAGATAGCCTCGTTTAGCGCTGTTTCGCATTACGCTCTACCTTGATGGAACGTATCCCCCGCGTTAAGCGGGGTCTTACTGTACTTACAGAATGAGTTCTCCGTGACATTATCATCTTCAAAGTAGTTCCCTTCAACATTCACACACTTCTTCATTCGGTGCTGCTATTGCTGGTAACAGTTCTGGAACGAGGTTTTTAGAAGTCCCTTCAGGAGATTCTCCGATTCTGCCTCAGCTGAGTTAAAATGGGTTCCCTTTAAGTAAGATTTAACTTTAAGAAATAAAAAAAGTCGCATGGAGCCAAATCAGGTGAATAAAGAAGATGCCCCATCAGAGTAATGTTTTTGCTGGTCAGAAACTGCTTGACAGATAGGGCTGTGTGATAGGGCCGTGGGCCGATAGATATGGGCTTGGGCCTGCTTGAAAGATAGGGCATTGTCCTGGTGCAACAGCCATCCATCACTGCACAACTCTGGCCTTTTTTCCCCTAATATTTTCAGGAAGTCTTTTTAGTACCTCATTGTAGCAATATTGATTAAAAGTCTGACCACTGGGAAACAGCGCCCAGCACATTCATCATCTTCCAAACTGTCCCTTCCCCCTGAAAAACCGCTTCTCCAAATCAAGCACACGTGCATGACACACATTTTCATCTCCATAAGCCTCGGTTAACATTTGAAATGTTTCCTCCACGTGGCTGATTTCTAAAGTTTCACAAGGAACTTGATGTTGATTCGCTGTTTGGTTTTTATGTTAGACATTTTTCCGGAAGAAAGCAGATGCACGTGTTAGCTCGATGATGCAGTACTTCCCACTGGCGAGGTTGGTTAACCTTTTGAAGACGGGATGGCTATTATAGTGGCCATAGAGTCCTCTCTTTGAAAAGACGGGGTTATCCACTTTAGTGGCCATGTCTTTTACCCCATTTTCCAGGATGAAAAGTGGAGTGAAATGTCAAATTTGACGTCCCAAGGGTTTTAACCACTTATCCCTTTCAAAGGTCTTCCTTTTGCGACATAGATGCACCCCTCTGAGAATCCATTAAACTACACACAAGAATCTTTGTTGCAAATAGGAGGTGATTTCTTAAAGGGTCGGTTCAAGATTCCCCGTCCTTGGGTAGCAGTAGTCCCGGCCTCTAAAGGTTGAGTCGAAACTGGTCGCATGGATAGAGGAGCTGTGTGGCATGACGTCACCAAAACAGTTGTTGCCAACTCCACTTCTGTTTTCAAGTTACAAACTTGGTGTCGTTTTGTTTTGCGTTACACCGAGTATTATTTAATTTCCTTCACAAATTTATATTTAATATTTTTATGAAGAAGGATTTGAAACTTCTGCTCTAGAGTAATATTTTCCTGCCCTAAAAGGTATCTTTTAAAAGATTTGCATTTGAAATCTTGTATTTATAACCATCTTCAGCAATACAGTAAAAATCCTCATCCTGCTTAATCGAAAGGAAGTCTATGAATGTAATAAAAGGTATCAGTGACCAAATTTATTGCTGTCCTTCAGTGTATATTAGATTAGTCTTTAAAATTAGAAACAATTTTCTGGGATCTCTTCCTTCTTCACAAGCACAACAGCCCCTTGCAGACCTGGCTGCCTCAACAACGCACTTTTTCCAGCGTCTTCTGTCTCAATTTTCTCCAATTTTAAATTTTTAAAGTTTTTAAGTCTTTTACAGTGTCACCTAACAATTTAGTCGACGGTCTTCTTTTAGCTCGGGATCCCTCAGGCTTCAAACATGGCCCAGCCACTTTAATCTATTACTACGAATGACTTGTCTTACTTGTGCAATTACCTGTAGTGCATATACAAGATGTAAAAAAAAAAAAAAACCGATACTTAGTGTGTAGCTCGAAAACAAAGTGGAGTTCGGAACATCTGTTATGATGACGTCATTCCACACACCTCCTCTATGCATGCGGCTAGTTTCGAGTTAACCGACCACGCCAGTGGGGAGTACTGCGTCATTGAGTGAACACGTGCAACTGCGTTCTGGAGGAAAAATGTCTAATGTAAAAACCAAACAGCGTATCAACATCAGGTTTCTTCTGAAACTTAAGAAATAAGCCGCGGAGGAAACATTTCGAATGTTAACCGAGGCTTACGGAGATGAAGCTTTGTCTCGTGCACGTGTGTTTGAATGGCATTAGCGGTTTTCAGGGGGATGGGACAATGTGGAAGATGATGAACATGTTGCGTTCATCATGATTGAATGGGTTCTCAGTGGTCAGACTGTTAATCAACACTACTACATTGAAGTACTAAAAAGACTTCGCGAAAAAATTATTAAAATAAATGGCCACAGTTTTGGAGTGATGGATAGCTGTTGCACCGGGACAATGCACTCGCTCACGCGACCCTATCTCTTAAACAGATTCTAATCAGCAAAAACATTACTGTGATGGGGCATTCTCCTTAGTCCCGTGACTTAGCTTCATGCGACGTTTTTTTATTTCCTAAAGTTAAATCTTACTTAAGGGGAACCCATTTTACCTCAGCTGGTGAGGTTCAGGCAAAAACGGAAAATCTCCTGGAGGGCCTTCCAATAACCTCGTTCCAGAACTGTTACCAGCAATGGCAGCACCAAATGCAGAAGTATATGAATGCTGAAGGGAACTACTTTGAAGGTGACACGTAGAATTGATTCTGTAAGTGCAATGATTTATTGGACCATTCCTTTTTTTTATGTGTGTGTCTGTACAGCTCAAAGTCATATCTTGTTCTCTAACGTCCCCATTCCTGTACTGGGCCAAAACCTACTCTGAGAGTTTTTTTTTCTATGATTAATCGTTCAAAATACGAATCTCAGAATCCTTTTGAAATAGTCTAAATACTAATGTCATCCATCGCAAGTTACATGAATTTTGCTGTTATACAATATCAAATGGTAATAAAACATGCCAGTACTGAACTGAGAAAAAACAATTTAAACATTTACATACTTTATTATATTCAAAGAAGTAAAAAAATCTCCTACCTACTCGTATCTTCAAACTGTTGCCAGTAGACGGGTCTTTCAAGTCTCCTATAACGACTACCATATCGAGGGCCATCAGACAAATTTTATCCGTATGTTTCTTTTCAACTTCTGGAGCGCCTGAGACAACCATATAAGCATCTCCTATCGTTTCCACCTTTAAATTCGAAAAAAATCATTACTTAATGATAAACTTCAAAATTACAAGTACACTGAGCAAATACAACCAACTACTATCTTTAAAACTTAAGAGTTTGACTGTTCTTCTAAAGCTACAGGAAATAATGGCTTCTTAGGAAGATTAGAAGGTATGAAAGTTATATCAATCACATCGGGTGTTTACTTCTGTGTCTCTTTCTGCTTTACGTAATTAACCGAATATTTTTGGTTGAAGTGTACAGTGTATAATTTAAATCATGAATTAAGGTAATACATCTAATAGTGTCAAGAATAAATGTTTTCAAGAGACAAGAAAATTCCACTGGAGCTACATAATGGATTATTTTCATTGGATTAACACTCTTTTCTGAGGAGATTTATTGGGCTGCTTTGCTTCTTATTACATAAGAAACTGAAATGAAAAAATCTGATGTGAACAAAACACGACATCGTTGTACGGCCTAATGAAAATTTAATTAAATTATGCAAATTTTTTACTGCATTTTATTTAAACATGTTTCCCCGAATTTTATTAGAAATATATTTCGCATTAGATACATTAGATGTTCCGTTCTCACTTCGCGGAAAGGGGAAATTTACTTCCTTGTACGAAGTAAAAAGGAAGTATTGTAATCGCGCAAAGCTTTCAGGGTATCATATTTCAACGAAAATATCCAATTTTGACCGCTGTCGAATGCAATTTAACGATGTTTTTGCCTGATATCTGTACGTAAGGACAGAATAAAAGGACTCTTTTTATCCTCAAAAAAAAAATTATAAAACTGATTTGAAAGGGAATTCTGAAGAGAATTTTCGTGGCGTCTGTACGAACGTATGTACATACGTACGTACGTTATCTCGCATAACTTAAGAAACGAAGTAGCCTCAGAACGTTGAAATTTTGTTGATAATTAGGACTGCTGTAACATGCAGATGTGCATGCACCTCGTATTTGGATGCAATCGGGTCCGCACTAACGTATATAAATATATGTATATTATCACTCTGTTACTCCGTCTCAGTGATCTCAGTTTCTTTACTTCTTATATGTTTGTAAATTGTATAGGCATTTTTTGCTTTAAAAATGATTGAATTATGTTGTTCTTATCTTCCGGTTAAGATTTTTATGCCTTTAGTTGACCTGCATGCAAGAATATTTGTAGGAATTATCAACAATTTAAAAGTCTGTTTAAAGTGTAGCTAAGTTTTGAAATTAACATGGCAGGACCATGTTTGTTTACATTTGAATCTTAGCAAAATAGTAGGATTTGTTGCCAATCTAGAGTAAGCTTCGCAACACAAAAATAGCGCCTTCATTTATTATTGCGAATTAAATCATGCTTAATCCTTTCTAGAATTTTTTCCAGGAAATAAGTGTTTAAGATTTACTTCGTAATTTTTAATGCAGATATTTTGAGTTTTTATGTATTTTTGCCTTCTCGCGAAGTGAGAACTGAATTAACTGAATGAGAAATACTAAATCGTCTGTGAAATACTAAGTCGTCTTTTCTGTTTTGTTTTCTTAATTTCTTTCATACATCGTTTTAGCTTTATTATAGTATTTGAATAGAACATGTGACAACGATATTTCTTCAAATGATGTAAATTTTGTGCATTCAGAGTGTCGTTATAGTAAACGAATATAGTGAATTTTAAAGAGTGCATTTATTCTATTGTGGTTCATGCGCTGTCTACGAAGTAGATTTAATTCAATCCAATCAATTTAAATAAAATTCAAGAAAAAATACGTATAATTTAATATTCCATTCAAGGAAGTCATGTGGTGTACACATCAGATTTTTTTATTTAATATCTTTACAGCTCTTTAGATAGTATCATCCTTTGATGTACTACAAAACATTTTCCATGTGAATGGATAAGAGATGATAAAATACTAATTTGGAATTTTCTACCTGCTCGAGTTTGTTAGTTTAATAAAACCTTTTTCTCTGAACTTCACAAATATAGTATTATTGTTTTAGTCCAGTTCCACAGCATAAGGAAATCATATAATAGCATTATTTTGAATGCAAAACAAATTTTCAAGAAAATAAAAATAACTGTTATCCCTGCAGATGAATCAAACATACTTAAATAATAAGGAATACAGAAGAATTGTTTTCTCTGTGTTACGCTTGCACTTTAGCAATTGCTGACTTTGAAGTTTTAAAGTCGGGGAAATACGTACATGACATGTTTAAAATCAAATCAGAAAAGAACAGTCGAAAGAACAATAATAAAGAAGTGAATTAGTTATTTGGAACGAGCTTTCGATTAATGCTAAATTATTCTTCGTTACGTAAGGAAATAAGAAAAGTTTAGAAACTGCTGTCTTTTCTTTATCGCATTAAAAGAATAAGAGCGTAATACAAAAGATTTAGTTGCATCATCCAAGGTGTCGCATTTATAAAATAAGGCAAATCAACAAACTTGTGCTTTGCATAGTGTTGATTTTTCCGATAATCCTATGTGCTATATCTGACTTCGAATCTAAAATTTTCTGAAGAACACAAAAACCTTGTCTAAAACTTAAAAGGTTTATTTAACTGGAACTTCAACACTGATGAAAACTTATCACAAACGAAAACTTAACATCTTGGGTGGAAAACATTCAAAGTGCTTTAAAGTAACAGCTATGCCGGCACGGTGAAGAACACTTTCCCTTAAAAGACAGAATCCATCTAGCCCTTTCGGCGTATATCTCCATTCGCTGATTCAGACATCCGCTCCTACATGTTTTGGACTTAAACGGCCAGGCTGGAACTGGAATAGGACTGGATCAGGACCGGAACTGGACTGGAACAAGACAGGAACCGGAACAGGACTGGATCCGCAACAAGACGGGAACCGGAATCTCTCAGGTCTATTCTGGCTCGAACTAAAGGAACTGCGGTACCACTAAGGAAAGCACCTCCTTTTATTGCCGGCGGTTGCCGTTACTACAGGCGACTATGCAAATATTTAACATCCTTCCACCTAAGGGAAAAAAAAAAAAAAAAAAAAAAAAAAAAAAAAAAAAAAAAAGTGAACTTTCACATCAAAGTAAAACCATGCCAAAGAGCCTTAATATGCCAGTCTATCCGGCGGAGTTACAGTTCTACCAGATCGTGTTACAGGCCTGACAGATTTATCATCTATGTTGAGTTTAAGTTCAGACAAAAGAATCTTGTTTTTTCATTCTGCAGCTTCACGGGTACATCATTTTGCGCTACCCTCTAAGGATACAGAGTTCGAACTGGTCTAAGCAAAATTCATTTCGGGTCTTTACTCTTGCAAGCCGATTTACTCCATCAGGTCCTGGAAGTAGTTCTATGACACGACCAAGTTGCCAAAAAAGTCTTTTGTCACTACTACCGATCAAAACAATATCATCTAATTTAATAGTAACTTTCCTTTCAGCTCTTTTGCGAAACCTTGAGAATCCCCAAATATTCTTTACGAAATCTATTTTTAATGCTTCTCGTACAGTTTGAATATACTGAATCTTCTTTGTAAATTACTTAATTTAATACCGTATTTTATATCCCGCAAACTACTAGTTCTAATTTCTTTTAAAAGTCGGCAGGAGTTAAAGCTTTAAATTCAGGATCGGAAGGAATTACTGTCAACGGTCGGTCATTAAGAATCGCTTCACAGTCACACAGTATCGTGTACATTTCTTCATAATTTAAACAAGCATGTTTTAAGAACTTTTTTAAGGACTTGCTTCATCATTCCGATCAGACGTTCCCACCAACCACCCCACCATGGAGCACCAGGGGAATAAATTTCCATGTTATCCGCTCATTGGCTGCCTGCCGATTAATTTGTTCAAATCTATTAATTTAAATGCATTCGAAGCTCCTACAAAATTAGTTCCATTATCACTGTACACAGTTGTTGGGTTTACCTCTTCGTGACACGAACCGATGAAAAGCCTGAAAAACACTTCTGTAGATAGAGAAGTCAGCAACTCCAATGGACCGCTCTACACTGTAAAAAAAAGTTCGCTCTTACAGGCAAAAGTTTTGTAAGTTAAGAATCAAAAAGTTACAGAAGATTTCCTGTAATGGTAACAGGTTGAAAGCAAACCTGTAGCGGTAACAGCAGATTTGCTTGTAACATTACAGATAATGTTTCAGTAGCCGCGCGGAAGAATCACGTGACTGACTGGAAATTAGCCAATCAGGAGAAAAGTGTTTTGAAAGCTAGTTGCAGAAAAAAACATGGCTGAATGCATTTTGGTTGTATAGCGCAGGTAAGTAAGAAAATGTTTACAATACTACTTGAAATATTTTTTTGTTCATTTTATGCAGATTATTCTCATGCACTTTGCATTGTTATATGTAGTGAGTAAGTATTTTAAACGTTTAAGCTTGCGATTAATTAATATCAGTGTTCGTAATGTCTAATGAGTTGAAAGAGTGCAAAATATTTATTCCAAATGCAGATCTAATAGTAGTATTTTGTCATTGTGCATCCGATAAATTACGCCTTCAACTGCCCTATTATTATTTAAACTAATTATTCCAAAATTTAATCACTGTTTGTGGTATATAATTGAAATGGTAATGTGGTTGTTGAAACAAAACTAATCATTTTAGCGTTCTTTTCCAATCATCTGACCAAAGAACGTTTCACATCTTTTCCCGGCAGGCCTTGCGAGAAACGTTTATATAACATTTAGATTCGATGTAATGTATATATTTTTTGCTTACTAGGTTAGTTTATTCTTTTTCTAGGATTATCTAATTAGTTATACCTGGTTTATAATTCAATCTAATATGTTTATGTACGAGTGTGTTATGAAGTAAAATTACAAAAACTTGAACAACGCGGTCGAGAATCTCGTTTATTCCTTTAGTGTAATATATTTTTTTCAGTGGTATTAATTTCTTACGAAAATATTATAATTCCAAAATGAAGTAATTATATTGATAAAATATCCGTATCATACTTTTCGTAATGTTTGTTTTACTAACTAGATGCAACTTAATTATTCCATATATTTTAATATAC